GGGGTTTCATGAAACGGGCCAGCAGCCTTCATGGGCGAGGGGCTGGAGAGGGCCTGTCCTAGGGCCTTGTCAGCACCGGGGTGTTGGTGCCAGCCGTGGTGCCGGAACACCCGTGGGGGGCGGGGAAGCTGCTTCGGAGCTACACTTTGCGTCGACGTGAACGGGGACCGCTTGGTGTGCGCAGAAGGTGCTCGCGCCCGTCTGCTGCAAGGGTTTATGCCTGGGTGGCAGAGTCTTCCGGCTCTCTGGGAATGTGGGAACCTCCCCATAACCTGCTGCTCTCGTGTCCTTTCTGTTTCGTGCAGCCACCCCGTGCATCAAGGCGATCAGCCCAAGTGAAGGCTGGACTACGGGGGGGGCAATGGTGATCATTATTGGAGACAACTTCTTTGATGGGCTGCAAGTTGTATTTGGAACCATGCTGGTGTGGAGCGAGGTAGGTAGAAACACTCCTTTTCTGAGGAAAGTAGAGTGGGAATAGTGTTAATCCTATTCCAGTAATGGTAGCGCAGCTGGGGGGGTGTGAGGCGGGCCAACTAAACCTGTGTGAAGGAAATTCATGGCACACGTTTTCCCGGTGGAACTCCTCCTGTGTGATACGACTGAGGCCAACTCAGTAATACCCAGAATGGAACTGAACAATTCTGGGCATCTGGAGACAGGTAAGGTGAAAGAAACGAAGGGTTAGAATTTGGGAAGGAGAAAGAATTCCCCCTGGGTGCAGAAATCAGCCAGCAATTAACCAGTGGGCAGAAGCAGTACAGTTTTCCCAGTGACAAATCCATATGAAAAAAGGGTCTTCCTCTCCAGGAGGCCAGACATTAGACGGTTTGTGTGACCTGCCTGCTCTACAGCGCCTCCTGTAGAGGAGTAAGCAGTGGATTTACTCATAAAGCATGTTTGGAGGGTGGGGAGTGAAAGTGGGGCAATGACAGACATGTCACAACTGTGCCTCTCCTTCTGTCATTCCCCAGCTCATCACGCCTCACGCCATTCGAGTTCAGACGCCTCCACGTCACATTCCCGGCGTGGTGGAAGTGACACTATCCTACAAATCCAAGCAGTTCTGCAAAGGCGCGCCGGGCAGGTTTATTTACACAGGTAGGTGCCTGCGATTTACGCCGGGGGAGCCTGAGCGCAGAGCTCGTTGTTTTGGTGATGGGTATTGACAACTCTCTGCTGCTTGCTCTGGGCTCTGGCTGTTCGAAGGCCGCTCTGCTGGTTGTGACGTTTGGACTTAGCTTCATCGTTGCGCGGAGGTGTCGCGGCGCTGCTTCTACGCCTTAGTGTTTTTCCAGATTAGGGTTCACGCTGGTGTGATACGGGTCTGCCTATAGATATGGTGCATGTACAAGAACGTGAGAGCGGATGTTTTATTTATGACAGCGTTTATTGTGCGTTTCCCTCTCGCTGGGGGTAACCTTTCATTTGCAAGATAATCCCAGAGGATGAGGAGAGCCTCTTGTATCGAGTGAAGGCAGTGAGCTGAGTGGAAAAGAAATGTTGGGGGTGTTTTTATTCTTAAATGGATTATCAACATATTTAGTGCCCTATATTGACCTCTGCTAGCAGAACATTATAGATCTGAAAGAGGAAAATCAGAAGGGACCAGCTGACCATCTCCTTGAACTGTCAGTACCAGCAGTAAAAGCAGTGGCATCCAGTGTGTGCACTCAAGTCTCTGAAGCCTATTCATTATGGCTGGAGAGAATAACGGTGTGCCGAGTTCTAAAGGGTGGGTTTATATTTAAGTTGGATGGCTTGCTCCTACCAAATCATACTGGGATTTCTCAAGATGGAAGGATTTGTTTGATTTTTTTAAAGCCTCATACCACCAACAATCCTCGTTAAATCTTTGCCTATTATAATTGTGACATTTTAAATCGTAATTTAACTCAAAAATAGGAAAGAAGGTTTAAACTTTGAATAAAGAAGGTAAAAACTTAACTACCTGTTGAGTCGAATTCCATTTTTTCCAGAAGTGGAAAAAACGGAATGAAAACCTGACCCGTCAGGACGTTAGAAGGACGGATGATTTGTGAACATCCTGTCACCGCCTCATGCCGGTTTAGGTACCCTTTATTCCTACATGTGCCGAATTAGTGTTGAGTGATGCCTGTGGGAAGGGGTTTATTTATACAACTGCCACACCTAGAAACCTGC